TAGCTGAGGACTGCCTGGGAGCTCTGGCCCGAGCTGCCTCTGGGCCCACGGTTCCCCATGCATCCCTGGTCTGAACCCCAGGGAGTGGTGGTGATGGCACCCCCACCTAGGCAGCTGCTGCTGGTGGGCGGAAGCAGGATTCCCATGGAGCCACCTTCTGCAGCCCCTGGCCCGATCTACGCTGCATTCCTAGCCCTTGCCCAGTGCTGACGGAGCCTGGGCCATGGCCACCATTGTCGCCACTGCAGCACCAGGCAGAGCTGCTGCTCTCCTCCCCATGCTACCTGGGCTCTTCCCAGGCAGTCCTGACCTGCCCCAGAGCCTGAGCCATGGGGCCTGAAGGTGCCAGATAGCCCCGCTGTGGCAGCCACGTGTGGATCCCAGTGGGACACAGGCTCTGGGCAACTGCAGCAGGAAAGCCTTGGGAGGGGGGATGACCTTCCTTGGACTCCAAACCTCACACACACCTCCCACACCCATTGCCCAACCATACAAAGTACCTGCATACTTTTGAGTTTTTCCGTGCATAACTTGGAGTTTTTAGCTGTGCGATTTAAAATTGCAGTTAATTGTGACTAATTTTTTTAATTGTGCAGCTAATTGTGATAATTTTTTTAAATTGTTTGACAGCCCTACTATGTGAATGGGCACTAATTTGCTTGATGAATATATTAAGTTTAAAAAACACAACAAACCAGTCAAAATAGTCAAAAGATGTCATTAGTCCCATAGTTGTTATAGAAGTGTACATCTCTTATTCAAACTCATAAAATAAAATCTACCCTTCTTGTGCATCTTGACACTACCTCCAACACTTTACTGTCAGTTACTTTTACACCTGAGTTAATACCACACCTGGATTAACGTTTTTAGTTAGAGCTAAAAAGAGTCTTCATGGCTGTGAAATAGAAGAGAGACATTATTAGGATAACAAACAGCAAAATTGTAAAAGTAAGTAATGATTGAATAGTGGAACATCAAGATCATTAAAAGACAGATGGTTGTTAACACCTGTGGAGTGGAAAGAGATTAGCAGGGATCAAGGAGAGAATAATGAGCCATGAAGCCAGTTGACTCTCATGGCTGCCTGAATGGAAATGCCACTGCTTCTCCTGAGCAGCTGGTTTTAAAGTTTGGGTGAAGCAGGAATCAAAGGGATGTGCAACTGCACCCTCCTGGATCCTTCCCAGTATGGTCCCCACCTTTGTTGCTAGGTTAAACAGTGGAGGGGTTGAGCCAGTTATCTTGAGTATTGAAGAGAAAATTCAGTTGAAGTTCCAAAAATCATGCTAATTGAGACCAGCCCCTGCGTGATTACAAAAGCTGGTGGCTGAACAGTAACGTCCCAAACCATAACTGAGTCTACGGTATAACAAATTGCGTTTGTAGAGTCCTTTGTTAACATTGTTCAAGCAGCAGACTTCCTTCTCAAACTAGAGCAAGAACTTTTAAAAAACATTTTAAGGGAAGAAAAGAAACTACATTGCAGAGAAACAGTGAGTGGAGTGCAGTTGTTTGGCATTCTGCAGCAGATGCTTCACTTGAAATCCTTTCTTTGCATTGAACGCCAGGAGCTCAATGTTTATGAGTGAATGGTGGTGGTAGTTTATTTACAGCTTTTGCTAAAACGATATAATAACATTGACAATAACATTTACATAATAATAAAATAATACAATTTATGGTGGTTGGTGAAGGTGTACGATAGAATGACATTCTGCTATTTTAAACAACATAAAAATAAAATATAGTATCTGATGATACAAAAACAGATCAAATGAAACTATATAATATTGTAGAGTAAAAATTTTAAATTTCAGAATTCTCTTCTATTTTCCACCCTCCTCCTTTATGCAAGTAATGTAAAAGCACCCAAGGAGTACAGGACTGCAAGTTTGTTAGAGTGGATACAAATGGCTTTTTTCTTTATTAGCCTAGTACTTAAAATTTTCCACTGAGAGAGATCCCTGTTAGCCATTTTGTGAAGACAGCCTGTTGCGTGAACAATATGTATTTGCCTAGGATAGCCTGGTACAAATTTGAAAGCTGTGGCATGCCATATTCCTTGTACTGAGGTGTTGTCAACTAATGATGTGATAAGGGTTTGGTATTCAATTAACAAAATGCATTATCTCATCTATCTGGTTTACCTCTCACTATAACTGCTTAGTCAAATCAGGTAGCAATACGTATCAGTAGGGTGAAACAGAAGTGGTCTGTTAAGTGCGCTACATAACAATTTGACACATGGTGATGCTGAATGCAACAATAACTTGACTAGCTAAGGACCAGATTAGCTTCTCTGAAGAGGAAAGGCATAGGATTTCACCTTTAGTTTCTATGCAAGTCTCCCATTAGATCTGATTCTGGGTGGTGCAGGAGTTGCAGGTGCTCATGCACTCTCTGATTAGGCCTACTTTTACTAGCCTAGTGTGGTCCTAACACTGTCACATCTCCATTTTTTCTCATCTGCAGGAAGGCAGAGGTAGTGTGGCTGTGAGGGTTGCCCTGGGGGAAACGCAGCTGGTTCAGGAAGTCCGCCAGTTCCTGATCGATAATGGAGTCAGCCTGGATTCCTTCAGTCAGGTAAGACCCTGACAACATAGAAGGAACTGTTGTTTGCTTATGAGAGTCTTTCCCTTCCCTTTGGCATCAGTGAAAGTGTGGGGGTGCAGAAGTTGGGGATGGATTGCATTATAACATGTTTTCACAAAGATTGCTTTAGTTGAAGGTTGTGGGATGTTGGACTTTGGGGCTGTCTGTGCAATACTCTTCTGTTTAGAAGGGAGTCATTCCTCTACTAAAAAAACTGAGGACAGAGAGAGAACCCTGTATTAATGGGCAGTACACTGTGGACTTAACAAGCAAGATGTGTGTTAAAAACATCTGAAAGCCAGTGTACCCACCCATATTGATCATGTTGTGTCATCAGCATGAAACTTGAGACTTCTGTAAGCCCTCTTACCCATCACTTCCTTGTGCCTAACACCTGCAGTGTAGTGGATATGTGTAGATGACAGCTGTCTGATTTGGAGTCACCAGCAATGGAGTTGAAAGTGTTCATATCCTAAACTTCTATGAAAACTTGAACAGTTCTGACTTGTCCCCCTTCCCACTCTTGTTTACTTGCACCTTTCTGTCCCTGAAAATTCAGGGCTCTTTCTTCTTGCTTGCATATGCTTCTGAGATGCTGAAGGTCCTATAGGAAACCTTGGGCTAGTATCTCAGAGGTGTTTAGACTCCCTTCAGTATAAGATATGAAAAGCTAAGGCTCTTCCTTTTTCTCATTTAAAAAATGTTGACTTTGTTCAGTTTCAAGGGTGTCAAAGATACGGCCTGTGGTGCTGCCTATGGTCTCAGAGTTGACTTGCAGGCAGCATGTGGTATGCACCAGATGGGCCCCATACATTGCACCCACAGATTTTTCATGCACCCCAAAATGAAACCTTCTTTAAAGTAGGATGTGACAGCTATTTCTGGGCTTTCAGAGCAGTAAGTGAGGAACTAGTGTTTGAAGCTGGAAGGTAGCGGTGTGTGGGGGTCAGACAGCTGGCCCCACAGGCAAATGGGTTTTCTCTGCTATTGCATCTAGATTTCAGTGACAGAAAGTGCCACTGTATACAGCTGTTTAACAGTTTGCCATGTCACCAGGAGGGGTATTAAATGGAGCGAGTAACAAACTTTCATTTCAGACCCTCTTTAAAGAAATCCCTGCTGTCTTCTCTTTCTCCCCTTCAATCATTAGGCATCTGGGGAGCGGAGTAAAACCGTGATCCTAGCAAAGAACCTTCCTGCTGGTACTTGTGTGACCGAGCTGGAGGAGGTGTTTGGTCGACATGGCAGCCTTGGACGGGTGCTGCTCCCAGAAGGGGGAATCACAGCCATTGTGGAATTCCTGGAGCCCACAGAGGCCAAGCGAGCTTTCACCAAGCTGGCCTATTCCAAGGTTAGTATGTGGAGTTAACCCTTTGAGGTTTTGCATCTAGGTTAGGCAGACTGAAGGAGCCCTGATGTCAGGGCCTTCTTGACTTGGGAAGTTGAGAATCATTTTACCATAGCTTAAGACAGTGGTTCTCAACCTTAATAGACTTGAGACTTCCTTTGGAAAATGCCGCTGTTTAGTTTTCACTCATTTTTTGAATACAGAAAAATTATAGATCAATTCGGTTGCAAAAAATTTGGAAAGACCATGCTGAGTCAGAATTTTTAACAGTATGGATTCCTATTTGAAATCTCTGGGTTTATCTTGTTAGTCATATTTCTACACTCACCAGTGCTAAGTGGAAGTAATGTAGGTTCTTGGTTAATGTAGACTGGCTGAAAGAAAGAGTCTCTAAAAAGAGGAGAAATGCGATGTACTTTAAGGAGAATTACATACCCTGAGTGGTAAAAGCAAAAGTCACTGCTTAACATATATATGATAATCCCCATACTTTTGTCCCTTCAGTTAAGTTCCACTCCAGTTTCTAGCATGCAATCTAGTTGGGTGTGTTGGAAATTCCTTACTAGAACCTTCTACTGTAACTCCAATAAGAGAGAATTAGCCTCATAATTTTTTCTGCTACTACAGCAGTTCTCAACCAGGCAGCTGTGACACCCTGGGGTGCATGGAGGTCTTTTCAAGGGAACTACAAGGTGCCACACAGTGTTAGTACCATTGGGCATGCAAACATGGTTCAGATGATTTAAAACCAGAGATTTCAACTAGGAATCCATAATGTTAAAAACATTTTGACCTGTTGTGGTCTTTGAGTCCTTTGCAACAGAAGAATTGCTGTATTATTTTTCTGTAGTCAAAAAAAGAGAGGTAAGAGCTGGCATTTTTCAAGAGGTGCCTCAAACCAAATGAGGTGCCTTGAGTAGAAAAAGATTGAGAACTACTGTGCTACAATAAGGCTTTTGAGAACCCAGAACTGAGATTCAAGCTTTCTGTATTTTTTTCCCTATCCCTCACCTGCAGAGTTTTCCTTTTCTCCTTTATCTGTAGAGATCCTTATCTGTTACTCTTGCAGTTCCAGCATGTCCCTCTGTATCTGGAGTGGGCCCCTATGGACGTCTTTTCCTGCCCACCCCCTGAGAAGAAACAGCCTGAGACACCAGAAGAGGCAGAAAGAGCAAGGCTAGGAGCTGGTAAGACTTTGGGGAAGATGCATGTGTTTGTCTTATTTTTTCCATAGAATAGTGGTTACACTGTTCCTGTTCTGTTTGGAAGCCATCTCATCCTGCACTGGATCTTAATTATGCAAGGCACTGCATAAGCGGGTAGTAGTAGCTGTCCCCAATCCAAATATCCGGCCAACTGAAAAACAAGCCAGAACTGATTAAACAAATGGCTTCTGGAAAGGGGTAGCCTTATAGTTTACAGCATCTGTCTTGGTCTGGGAAAAATGTGGTATGGTACAGTTGATGACTTTGCCACAGACTCTTTTGTGATCTTTGGGCAAGTCATTAGATTTATTCTCTTCCTCATGTGAATTGGGGTAGCCCTTCTGTACTTCACAGCAGTGTTGGGAAGACAGAGTCCATTAATGATTCTGGGGTATATGATAACACTGCATTGAGGGCTACTTAGGTACCCAGATAGGAGGGAAGAGTGTAGTAATAAATCCAGTAGTTGTGGTGCTTAAAGCACAATCTTGCTCCTCTGCTGGCTAGGAAAACAATCTGACACCACAATGTTAAAGCAAATCGACTCTTCCCCCAGTCCCAAACTTCATCGCAAGATAACACCTTGGCAGCTATAGTCACCAATGCTGCAGATGTTCCCCACAAGAAGGGGTTTACACAGCTGAGCACATGCCCATTGGACATGTATGTCATGCAGCCCCCTCCTGGAAGGGCTTTTCAGCCTAATTGAGGGGCCAGGCTTAAGAGTCCTGGCTCTAACTGAACAATGGAAGCAAGCGCCAGGCAGCAGGGCTGGGCCAGCTGATCGCCTGCATGGCAGACCATGGATCTGTGTGTGCATTTATGTGCGTGCCTGTGTTAATTTCAAGCCCGACTGCACGCCTTGTGCGGGTGAATTCCCATTGCTCTTATTGCAAGGACGTGACCTTTTTTTTTTTTTTTTATATCTTCCTCCTCCTATCCCTGGGGCTTTTTAACGTTTCTCTTGCATGTTTGGGTCCTTAAACTCTTTTTAAAACAAACGCAGAAGGAGGCTGGATAGCTTTGGGTTGATTTTTAATTGTTTTGCTGGAAACCTTTTTAAGACAGGGTGGGAGGAAGCTGATGAAAAGCTTTTTCACTGTTCTGTGCACAGGTCATGAGGGAGGGACAAAGGTAGGGGGGAGCCATTTTATCTCCCTGTAACCGAGACCCTCACCTCAAGATAAAGGGCTTTAAGCACAGGAGCTCCTGGAAAGCTGCTCGGGGCTGATAATGGTCTTTGCTGTCAGCCTTCGGCACTGTGTGTTTGGGGGAGGGAGCAGGGCAGGAGGCAGCAGTAAATTCCACAGCCTGATTACAATGAAGCTCCTTGTGGCTGTGCGTGACTGCATTTTATTGTGCTAACCACAGATGGAGGCACCTTCCCCCCCACCATCACCACCTCCTTCTCACTAAATCTTTTCCCTCTTCCAACCCATTTCTTTCTTTAAAACCAGTGTATTTTCTGCTCAATGTTTGCTAATTTCCAGAGTTTCAACAGGGGTAGAAGCAGTTAACAACACAGATAACAAAGGACTCTAAATTCTTGCTGCTCTGAAAACATGTTTGCCCACTTAGATTTTATTAACCTTAACCTGAGTATCTGGCTAAGAGCAAGTCTTGAACTGAAGCAGAGATCTTTTTGTATATTGGAACCAACACCTGTCATGATGGGTGGAGTTTCCTAGTAGCCTTCTCATAGAATGAGATAGCATATTTGGTGGACTTGCCATAATCACAGCTTAATACCCAAGGAAATGCATCTACGTTGGCTTTTCTAAGATCCAACACTGCTCCTATTTGTTTGAAGCCAATTAAAAACATTAAATCCCTTTCCCCCCCCCAATTAAATTGTGGGTTAGGGTTAAAAAAAACCTTTATTTGAAGTCCATTGTGATCAGGGGCAAGATTACCATTCACATAACTTTCTTTGGTGTGGGCCCAAAGGGCTTCAATGAGTTTTACATGTTCCTCTGAAGCATCTTGTACTGGCCGCTGAAGCAGGAGGCCAAGACAGGCAGAACCTGGACATGAAATGCTGCCTTATGGCCGCTCTGCAGAGCGCTGTTGGTTGACATTATAGGTGCGTGTCTTGCTTGGGTGAGGCAGACAACCTACAGTTGGTGATGAAATATGTGGGGTGGGCAGTAAAGTTAATGGATGGGGAATGAGCAAGCTCAGCACTTAAGGAAATCAGCCTTCAGATACTGTGGCAGTGGACCATAATACAAACTTACTGAGATGTGGAGCTGTGCTTGATTGCTCGTTGTCCTTCATCTTTTGCTCCTGGAAGAGCAGCTGAAGAGTTGGCCTGCAGTTTGACAGTGACATCCCTTTAAAGGAAGGGAAGACCATGAACTTTATGGGCAAGACCCTCCCATCTGGGCATGGATGTTTCTTGAAGTCAGCAGTACCTTTAACTGATGCAGGGCTAGCCCAGAGGGAGAGTGTGGGGAAAGGTGCGAGTTTTAGCTGAACGTTCTGAAAGAGCCGTGTGCTTTCTAGACCTAGGATTAAGGTTGGACACAGAAGAACGTAGCAAACAGGGCCTCGGAGTTCTCCATTCTCCACATGGATTGGAGAAAGCAGAAAGTTTGGGTTTTTTTGTTTATTTTTAGTGGATTTGAGGGCACAAAGTTTCCAGCTCAGGTTTTGATGTTATCATTCTGTTATTCATTTTGTGTCCCTTCTCAGCCTGTGTTTCCCTTTTTTGCTGTTAACTTCATCCCATCTCTAGAAAGCTAGCTTCCTTGGCTGTTTTATTGCTATATTTCTAGCTTCCTCGGCTGTTAAATAAATCATGAAGTTCTTTTTCCCCTTCCCTTTTTCCTTTTTCTTTGCTCTTTAAGACAGATAGGAGGGCTGTATGTTCTACTGATGTTAAAAGGACAATATTATCATTGTTGCCATTTCCATTAAAGCATAAAAGAGCTATTTAATGACAAAGACCTTGAAGATTAATTAGAAGTTTAATGTGTTTGGTTTGGTTTTTTTGAGAGTGGAAAAGGGCTGGGGGAGGGGAAGTCTTTTCAGAACTTAATATGGTGAGCAAGTAGAATGAAAATGAACAAAAATAAGTAAAGGTCCCTTTCAAATGCATAACTGTTTAAAACATCGTCTCTGACCTTTATGCAGCAGAGGCTGCTCACAAAGGGGGTGTCTTGATGCAGCTAAAGTGATGTTAGCCTTTAAACATCTTAAAACTCAAAGTCAAAGAAGATGCGTGCAGTCTTTGCTATGCTGTGCGTTTCAGGTGTTATGCTCTCAAATAGTGGCAATAGTTTTGTCTCAGTGCCAGAGAGTCTTCAGTAATACACATTATATTGCTAGTATTAGAGGATTTTAGATGCTGTGCTATCACATACCAAAGAATGATGCTGTTGGACCTCAAGATTGGATAGCCATCCATGATGCAATGTGCAGTAGTCCTGAAGGGCTGGGCTTCCTGGATGCTACCTTGTAGCACATAGGTTGCAATGCAGCCCTGTAGCAGAGCCTCTAACAAAGGTGCATTGTTTTAGAAGAGAATTAAAATGATGTTTTTGTTCTCCAGTGCTACAATGTATAACAGTTAGGCTGAGCTAAGTTCAGGGAACTTTGAAAATAAAACCAACCTGATAGAAGCTCAACCATTACAACCAGCTGCCTTAAGAGTGTGCTTGCTTATGTTGAATATACTTCTCAGTTGTCCTCTCTTCCTGTTAGAATTGGGACTTTACAGGCCTGATTCCTTTATGTACAAATGTAGGAGTAGAATTATTACAACAGATATGATTGAGAGTCTCTGCCAGGACAACCGTGCACTTGGAATTACTGTTGGAATTTCAGGGCAGGGTGGAGAGGTAAATGTAAAAGGATCAGGTTTGGAACAAGTATTTCTCTGGGTTCAGCACCATAATATCTCAATGCCTAGAGAGCAGTGTGGTGGAATTCAAAATTCAAATCACTCTAAGAGCAAGGCTGTCGTGGCATACCTGTGGTCATGCTATTTGCAGTCATGCTTTCAGAAGCACCAGATTTACTTCAGAACTGTCATTAAATACATGTAGAAGAATTTTCCATTTATAATCAGAGTTTTGACTCTGAGCTGAACCAAAACACAATGACTCCCTTTTATGTCCCCAAGTTGGATTGGTTGGCTATGTGCTTTTATGCTTGCTCTGTTTTGTTTATAGGAGCTGAGGGAATGAAAGAGGACTTGGAAGAACTAGCAGTAGAAGAGGAAGATGAGGAAGAAGAAAGTGTTCCAGGATGTACCCTGTTCATCAAAAACCTCAGTTTTGCCACCACTGAGGAAACACTGAGGGAGGTAAGTAGTGGGTGAGGCTAAGAAACTGGGTGTTGCATGTATCTAGCAAGCTAGTGCAGCTGGGCAGGAGTGTCTTGATCAGGGTCAAATGGTGAGTGGGTGATTCAGCCTACATTAGAAGCAGAGATTTTGTCTGGCTACCAGCCTGTCTGAAGTTCTTTTGCTTATGTGTTTTAAAGAAGTATTAATAGTGCTCTTAAGTGATTTTCAGCTTTCATCTTAACTTTTACAAACATCGGTAGCAGGTGTAGTACTTTGCCACAAGTAAATTGGACACAGAAGTGTGAGGTAGCTTTGTTAAGATTACATACCAAGTTACGAGGGCCAAGAAAAGTAACCAGGGATTCTTATTCCTATGTTCTGGTCTAGCCACTGGACAACAATCTATTTTTCCTGTATTAGGACTAGCAGCCAGGCTGCCACAAGTACTTTATAATTCCTCACGTACAGTCCTGCGAGGACTGATGTCTTGGGGATACTAATGAATTAATTGGCAATTGTTAAAAAATAGGTTTTTGTGTAAAGCCAGTGTCCTGGTAGAAAAACTCAGTATTCTATAGTAATGATTGCTGCAGCTTATTTTAGTGATAGTACAGTGTCTGGAATAACTAGTTTGTGACTTTTTTTTTTCCTCTAATAAGTGCTATGAAAACTGAATATATGATTATATGTCTTCCTTGGTCAGTGTGTATGCCTGGAAGTGGAAAGAGCCAACTTCCTCTTTCAGTTGCTTTAAAAGGGGCATGTTAAAAATTGTATTTTGACCTTAATTGCAAAGAGAACTAAGGAATGTGCAAAACTTTTCACAGGCATTTTCCAAAGTGGGAGCTGTGAAGAGCTGCACGATCTCAAAGAAGACAGACAAAGCAGGTACACTATGAATTGATGTGTAGTTCATCTGGGTAGCCAGTTGCATAACTGTTTGAAAGCTTAATGATTTGTTCAGAAATGCACATGCTGAAAAGACTGAACCACTTTACTGGACCTTTATGCCTGTAACAATACCCTAACCCTACTACAAATTGGTTGAAAACAGAAACCAAAATGACCTTCCCCAAGTCTGCATTGAAACATATCTCCATCACTAGATATGCAAAGTGATTTAAGGCCTTCCTCCGAGATTGGGTTGGAAGAGCCAGATTCTACAGGATCACATGCTAAATAGATTTGGTGCCTGTGCTGATCCACCCTGTTCTGAATGTATTTGAATATCAAAGAGAAGGAAAGAATATCATGGGAGGTCAGGGACGGAGCTGTCTTACAAAGGAAGTATTGACTAAATCAGCCAGGTCTCTCCCCAAGATATGAAATCAGGTTGGGCTCCACTTTGTAACAAACCACTTTTTGTATAAGGTCAACTGAAGTCTCCATGAAAGTGCACCCAGCTGTTCTTTATGCCAAAGTCATCTTTTGAAGAGTCTGAACAGACTAGGCTGGCACTTTTGGTGTTCTAGCCCTGTTTTTGTGTGTTATCTAAGGCGCATGCTGTGTGTGGATCTAGGACAGTCTCTGGTTTCACTCTAGTTTCCATGGCAGTCCCTTTCAGTCTTCAAAGAGTGGCTTCAGTAGCATAGTGCAGTCAAGCTTTGGAAACTTGCCATCATGTTTTCTGGTTTAGGGCCTTATTTATGAGCTCTTGAAATCACGATTCCATGAGTACATTTCTTGGAAGCTTTTAGCATGGCCTTGAGCATTACAAACTTCTGCTGGGTCAGGGAATAATTAAAGGGCTGTAGATCACATTAGCTGTTAATCATTTCTAGTGGAAGTTCCATCCTTCAGTACATAACCTAGGATTGAAAAGAGTGACCATACAGGAATTATGCAAGCATCTGCTAGTTTCACATGTCTTTTGCAGAGCTCAAAGGCACTCTTGACACACATATGAAATGTAGAGCTCAAACCAATTGATTAAGTGAAATATGGCAGGTAATACTCTCTGGATTGTAAATAAATCTCAGTCCTTCTTTTCACAGCTGAGACATTTGTACCTTGGTTTGGAAAAGCCCTTGTATGTAATCACTGCTCTGGGCTCTGCAGCAGGAGTAGTTAACTACTTTAAGAGCACTGCATGTACTATAGCCTTGGTAGGGGCATTACAACAAGATAGCAAACAGGGTTGTGTTGACTAGTGAGACCATTGGAAAAGTCTATGCTTGGCAAGTGGGAATAGCATTACATCTGTAAAGGGCAGATGCTTTAGGTGCACCAATCATTGTGGGAAGGAAGGAAAGCATGAAGTTGAAGACTGTCCAATTGGAATTGCTGGCTCCCTTTAACAAATCAGTTATGCTCCTGATGTGTAATTCTCTAACTAGCTGCTGGTTTCTGTTCACCTATAATGGGAGGAGATCAGACACCATTGTGCTAGTATGCAGAGGCAGCTCTCAGCCCCAACGATTTTTCATCAAAAGGACGAGAGAGAATGTATTATTCCCACACAGGTGTCTTGCCACAGTGCCATATTCAGGACTCTCCTGACTAGGTCCAGTGTTTCTAACCACAAGATCTTCCTTTCTGGCTAGGTATCTATGTGGGTAGCAATTTTTTTAAGGTTCAGTTTACAATAGTTTAAAAAATAGTTTGTTTAGAGACTTTACTTCTTGATAGCCTAACCGAACTCTGAGGGCGCATCCCGATGAGCGCGCACATGTGGTTTGTGGCACCACAAACTGCATGTGGTGCACTTGCACCCATTCACTGTACTGCAGATTTGCAGGGTGACACCAAAATTTGATACCAGGAGAATCCTGGCTTTAAAGAAAAAGACCCCCACTGCAAAAAGTGGTACATATTTAAGTCACATATTTAGAAAAATGTGGGTGAAACCTTATAATAGTTGACCCTAGACATGAATGGCTGTTGTTTTGGTAAGACCTGCATTTAATGTTTTGTTTAATGAGGTAGCTCAAAAACTATGCATGGATTTCCATCACACACTGTTGTAGCATGAATTCTTTTTTACATCCTGTTCTCGAGGATGAGGGTTTTTTTCCTGAAGCCTGAGAATATCACTTTTTTTTTAATTATCAGTGTTTGCTCTAATTTCCAGGAATGGTTTGGGTTTTCATTGTCTGCCATAACCTGTCCCAAGTGTGTCGTTTTTGTGCTGGCCACCATTAGATGCTTCTCACCAAAGGCTCTGCAACTCTCATAGAACTAGTCTCTTTTTCTGGCAGGCACTTTACTTTCCATGGGCTTTGGATTTGTGGAGTACAAGAAACCAGAAAATGCTCAGAAAGCACTCAGGCAGCTCCAGGTAACAATGGATGACTCGAAGTTAAACCCCTTTCCACAGGTGTGGTGGGGAAAGGGGTAAGCCATGAGGCAGAAAATCCAGCCAAGCCTTTTGGGGCTATATGCAAAATAAAATGACATTCAGATGGTAACATTGCTGGCATGGGTCAGGGCCTGCTCAAAGGAAGATCATGTTGCTGGTTGCATAGTTGGCACTGGCAAGGCGCCATTTAGGACAGCATGTCTGCTTTTCTAGTGCTGATCCAATAACTAGGTGCCTGAAAATCTGGAACCTTGCTGAGTAAACTCATGAAATTGTACAGTTCCCTTGCACACTCAGCATATGCCCAGGTCACAACAAATTATGGGATAAATACTGCTTAGCATTTGTAGCACCATTAAGCCGCAGAGCTCAAAACTTTACAAAAGCAAATTTGGAGATTATTTGAAGGCTAGAAAGACCACCACCATCCTCTAGCTGACCTCCAGTATGACAAAGGGCTTAGATATCCCTATGCACTCCTGTTGTAATCATTCCCTCTAGGAACCCCTGGGTATATTTCTGTGGTCTGTGTTATGCAGGAGTTAAAGTCAGATGATCAAAGTGATCTTTATCATTCTTAAGAACCCATGGATCTGTTTTGTGGATGGGGCGAGCAACTAGGGAACAGAAGCAGAGAGTAGACATATTAGACTAAAGTCAGGTAGAAGGCAGGGCAGGATGGTACTTTAAAGACTAATTTATTCAGAGAAGTATAAGTTTTCCTAGGTTACAGCCTACTTTGTCAGATGCCATGAGTGGACTATTCTGGGCTATAGCCTGTGAGTGCTTATTTCTTTCTCAATGAGTTAATCTTTAAGGTGACACCTTGTCCTGCCTTCTAGGAAACAGAAGGATGTAATTTCTCTAGTGCAGCAGTAGAACCCCAGTATTCTCATTTCAGAGCCCTGTGACATCATGTACACTTTAATCCAGCAAGCTCCCATGTTGATTTGGCCCAGAAGGCAAAGTGGCTTTTACCTTCAGAGTTTCATAGTAGGTAGGGTCGGAAGGGACCTGAGCAGATCATCAAGTCCGACCCCCTGCCATGGCAGGAAAAAGTACCTGGGACAAA